CTTGAGGGTCTCTCCCATAGTAGGGGCTAAATCCAATTCGTTGTTCACTGGTTGTTGTGTAATGTGCTGAGTTGCTGAGCCTTGAACTACACTTACTTGCATTTAGGGAGTTGCTAAATGAGACAGTTTTTCAGACAACTTGCCGAAGTAAGTGGACTTTATTTCTGTTTCATTTGAGTAGCTAGAGCTGCTCTGAAATTGAAATGAATTTGTTACTCGGGTCCCCAGAGACCACCTCTTGAATCTGTGTGGCTTACAGCTCACGCTCATTTCTTTGGCATTGTTCAGCTTCCCACATACCTTCAGTTCTTCCCAAGAGAGGGACTCCACAGGCTGCTAGGATCTCACAAACTGTAGGGATCCCTTCTAACTTCATTGAATTCTATGAATGATTCTCCATTCAACTCCAAGCTGCATGAACTGGATTGCAGGACCAAACTTTTAGGCTGCAATATCTCTTTTCAGTAGAACTCCCTTCGCAAGAGAGGAGGTGCTGTCTTCCTCCACTCTGGCATATAAGAACGAGCATCTCTGGGTTAAAATGTGAAGGGACTGCTTTTTGGGATGTCAGAGCATGTGCTGGAGACATTACTATTTTCCCCTGCTGCAAACTTGCATCAAAGGGAGTTTAAATTGCTGCCCTTAAAAACTGCAGCTAGAAATAGTCTAATCAGGTACGTACCAATCAGAAATTTTGCTCCCTAAAGTTCCCCGTGAGTCATGGCTGCAATTACTTGCAGCCTGACTGGAGGTGAACCTTGATGCATAATGAAAATTGGAGCCCATGAATACTGTAGGTGAATCAATATCATGGCTGAAGTTCACAGTTGAAAATATAATCAGTGTGCTGATATAAGCCAGTAGTGTTTCTACACAGAAAGAGAGCAATGGCAGGATCTCTCCTGTAACAAACAGCAAAAGAAACAGGGAGGCCTTAGAGCAGCACAGAAAAGATCCTCAGGTTAGGATGGGAACCCGCTGACACTGGAAACACTTCAAATGTATTCCCTCCCCATCTGGATAAGGCTTGGCCGTTCTTGGGCAAGTCAGGCTCTCATTAAATGAAGGTTTGATTGCTTTAATGAAACATAAGTTCCTCATACAAAGAGTGGAGCTCTTCTCTCTCCGATGCCATTATTTCTTTCGGAAGATGATGGCAGCTTCTAGCCTTTGATCCTGGATTGCAGCCAAAAAAGCAACTGACTCGGGAGTCTCCCACGGGGCAATTCACACACCTGCGAGTCCTCCCACCACCCATCCCAATAAAATTAAATTGGATGTTACATTCACCTGTTCACATTTTGTGTTGGAATGAAGTGTAGCAAAATCTATACTTGGCAATATTCCTTGTACTATTATTGTCCGCACAATAAAGGTGAGAGGCAGAGTCAGGTACTCGCAACGAGAGAAGGAGCCAGGTCTGCTATCCCTGTGAGAGTGGCCCAGTGATTCCAGTGCTCTCTTTCCTCTCGCTGTTGGAGTGGTCTGCAAAAAGTATTGTGAGATAAAGTCCCAGGGAACATACATTTTTTTTTCTGACAAAGCCTCATAGAGCTCATCCTCAAACTCTTTTCCTTTTTCTCCTCTACAAGGGCAGAAATGGAAATGCAACAGGAAGACTTCCCATGGAGCAGCTTCCAGTTGAGTTTGCTTTTTTTTTCTTTTGACAGTTTTGGGTAGTGCTTTGGCACTCTTTTCTTCTTTTCTCTCATTCCCTGGAAAGGGGGCAAAAATTGCTGAAAAAAGCCTAACCACTCTTGAAGAGTTCATAAAAATGTGATTTGCGGTGGAGCTGTAAACCTGGTGTTTAAATGGTCCCTTTCTCGGTTTATTTTCCACAGGTCTTCCCCCTCGCCATGTCAAGGAGCATTAACGATGTGTTCCCTCTGCATTGCATTCCCCACCTGTCATCTTGCTAGGATCTAACTACAGAATGAACATAGCAGCTGTGTTGAATGCCCTGCTCGTGTCAGTCCTCGCTGCTGTGCTGTGGAAATACGTCAAGCTGCGAGAGCATGTCTTCGTGGTCGAAGAGGAGTTGGCCCTTATGCGTCAGTCTCAGGAACTCTCTCAGGCTCAGATTGACTACCATGCAGCTCTCCAGGCGCTGGTGGAGGACGGTACCAGAATGGTGTGCACCGGCAGGATGCACACCGACCGCATCTGCCGCTTTGAGTCCCTCTGCTACTCTACAGAGGCCGAGGAGTTTGTCTACTTTCACAGCAACTCCTCAGTCATGCTGCCCAACCTGGGCTCCCGGAGGTTCCAGCCGGCTCTTCTTGACCTCTCCTCAGTGGAAGATCATAACACTCAGTACTTCAACTTTGTGGAGCTGCCAGCTGCTGCGCTGAAATTTATGCCAAAGCCGGTCTTTGTGCCTGATGTGGCGCTGATCGCCAACAGGTTCAACCCAGACAACCTGATGCATGTCTTTCATGATGACCTCCTCCCCATTTATTACACCATGCAGCAGTTCTCTGATTTAGATCTGGAGGCACGACTCTTTTTCATGGAAGGGTGGGGTGAGGGTGTTCACTTTGACCTCTACAAGTTACTGAGTAACAAGCAGCCGCTCCTCAGGGAGCAGCTTAAAACCCTAGGCAGGCTCCTCTGCTTTACCAAATCCTATGTAGGACTGTCCAAAATCACGACCTGGTACCAGTACGGGTTTGTCCAGCCACAGGGGCCGAAGGCTAACATCTTGGTTTCTGGTAATGAGATCAGGCAATTCACCAAATTCATGTTGCAGAAGCTGAACATCAGCTTGGAGGAAAGCTCCAGTGAGGAGTACATCATAGTGTTCAGTCGAACACTCAACAGACTTATCCTAAATGAGGCAGAACTAATCCTGGCTCTCGCTCAGGAGTTTCAGATGAAAACCATTACCGTCTCTCTGGAAGAGCATTCGTTTTCTGACATCGTCCAGTTGATCAGCAACGCATCCATGCTGGTCAGCATGCATGGGGCCCAATTAGTCATGTCTCTCTTCCTGCCAAGAGGTGCCACGGTGGTGGAGCTCTTTCCTTATGCTATCAACCCCGAACACTATACCCCTTACAAAACCCTGGCAACCCTTCCTGGCATGGACCTGCACTACATCGCTTGGCAGAACACCAACAGGGAAGACACTGTTACCTACCCAGACAGACCTTGGGATCAGGGTGGGATTGCTCATCTGGACAAGGCCGAGCAAGAGCGCATCATTAAGAGCACAGAGGTGCCGCGACACCTTTGCTGCCGCAACCCTGAGTGGCTGTTCCGTGCCTACCAGGACACGAAGGTGAACATCCCGTCTCTCATCCAGGCCATCAGGCAGATTAAGTCCACGCCTGGACTCAAGAAGCAGAAGTGGTCTGGTAGCCTCTACCCTGGCAAGGTGAGGGATGCCAAGTGTCAAGCCTCTGTCCAGGGCACAAGCGAAGCTAAACTTGCCGTGTCCTGGCACATCCCCTGGAACCTGAAGTATCTCAAGGTCAGAGAAGTGAAATATGAAGTGTGGATACAAGAGCAAGGGGAAAACACTTACATGCCTTATATTTTGTCACATCAGAATCACACCTTCTCAGAAAACATTAAGCCCTTCACAATATACCTGGTGTGGATCCGCTGCATCTTCAACAAAAATCTCCTGGGACCTTTTGCAGATGTGCTCTTGTGTAGTACATAACCTGTTGCGCTTTCTGTACAGCTCTGCCCCGCTCTCCATCTGTGGTTGAAAACTTCTTGTCTTGTAGTTTGTAGAGGGCTGAAGAGGACTAGACTGTACCAGTGCCTAAGTGTCTGTTTTATTGCACTCCACGTGTATTCTTTAAATGGTATTTATTTCTAGTGAGTGTTTAAAAAAACCAAAAAACAAAATGCAAACAACAAAAAACACCTCTGTGTTCTTCAGAGTGACTTCCAGAGGTTAAATTACATGCTGAATACGTGTAATTGAAAACAGAATGAAAGTGAATTGTGTGTACCTTGGTCGTGATTTAAATTTGTTTCTGTTGTGTGATGAGTATTTAAGCACAATGTTGAACTGCAGTCAATTCCATGACTAGGTGGGCAATTCTCATCAGCTTTTTCATTGTAAGTTATTTTTTCAATAACTCTGACTGTAACTCTGAGTTCAAAATTTGGTACGAGAGCCTTCATTAAACTGCTGTAAACCTCCTCAATATTTTCTTTGCTTTTTATTATCTGTCAGAATTGTTATTATGGTAGACTTATTTATTGCTGTGATAAAATGTGTATATGGATAGCTTTTTATTTTTCATATTTTGGCTGAAGAGAATGAGACTACAGTGTCAGCTTCATGTTTAAAATCAGATTTTACTGCACCCTAGTAGCAGAAGGCTGGAGTAGCAGATAGTCGATAGAGAGGATGGAGTGCATAAAATAATTTACAGTGTTTTGAGATGCTTTCATTTTGTGAGTTACATACAGGTCTGTGGAAAAGGAACATGATGGGAGGGAGACTGCACTTACAGTCTGCTCAAGAAAATCCTGTTTTTTGGTGTTCAGTCAGAATGATCTATTGATAATAGCTGCTAAAAGGTACGTGCTTTGCTAAGTATTAAGCAGGTGGTCATAAAGGGAAGGTTTCTGGGAACAAGTTTTCCTGGATGTTGGTGGGAGGACACAGAGTCAGGCAGGGGACAGGTAGGTGGGTGCCATGGTATGGGGCTGGACAGAGCGCAGGTCAGGCTGATGACGCTCGTATGTCTGTTACTCTATTGAGGGGAGTAGGTTTTTTGAGACTTAGATTCATTTTCCCTGCAGTCAGAAATTGGCTTTGTTGCTGGGATAACACACTTACTACTTGGGACCTGATCCTACACAGTTCTCCTTTAGGTAAAGACCCCAAATGACACTATCTTTGAAAAATAGCTGTGTCAAGAGTACGGCTCTTGGGGAAGAGAAGAAAAAAGGGACAGTAGCATGAGATGTTGCCATGCTAGATCATAGAATCATAGACTCATTAAGGCTGGAAAAGACCTCTAAGATCATCAAGTCCAACTGTCAACCCAACACTACACTACTAAACTATATCCCCAAGTGAGATGTTAGCATCCTCCATAGTTTATAACCAGCGTTAAAGCAATAGGAAAAACACTTCCTTCTCCTCTCCCTCGCTCGTCTTGCCATCCTCCTGAGGTCTGGGTGGATGTTGGAATAGTAGGATAAATGGCTTGCACTCTGAGCGATGGGCTGATAGATGAGCACCTCAAAGTGGCATTATGAGTTCCAAGAGAGGAGGAGAAAAATGTTGCTGTACAAATTAGACAAGAAACAGGAGGGTTGAAAAATAAGTGAAATACCTCAGCACCACCCTGGTCCTTCAGGCAAGTGCTACTTCTGTATATTCATTTTCATGGTGTTTAAAGGAGGGGAAGAAAAAACAGACAACAGTCCCGAAGACTATGTTTCCTTTGCTGTTGTAGCCTTGCCAACTACTATGTTTTGCCTTTTAAAGGGACATGTGAATACTCCCACTGTTGTTTTCTTAGGACAAAATAAGCTTGCTGAATTATCTGAGCTGTTCCCCAAAGTCTCTGTGTGGCTGCACATCACGTGCCACAAACATCAGAGCTGAGGTGAGAAAAACTTCATGAGCAGGCGACAGACGTGAGCATAGGGTGTTCAGAGGAGCCACCAGGACCTGCAGCTCCCTGGGACCTCACTGGCTGATCACCTCCTGCTCACAGAAGGGTTTTGCAGCTACCTCGCATCCCCACATCCATTCAAGTTGAAGGTTGCCCCATGGCTTGTGGCTGTCCTCCCGCTGGCAGGTGCCAGGGTCATGATGCTGGCACCTGTAAAGTCTATATTGAGTGAGCCTTCTGTATTGATTGAGCCTTCCAAAGGCTAAAACCTAGTAAGCATTAGTTTTGCATCGGTTCTCAGAAGCAATTTTCTTTAGGTGTGTGAGTTGCCTGGGTTCTTCTATCCACCATTTGTTGGGGACGGGGAGTTGGGCTGTGCGTTTCTTTACTGCCTGCCTTTCTCTGTGCCTTTTGGAGCAATCCTCTGTCCATACTTTGCAGACTGTCCCATTTCACTTAAAATTATTTTCATATGCTTGAAGATTTGCTAACATTTGCAGATTGGTTATGGCACATTAACTGTTAACTTCTCATATCCTAATGATTCTAATCAACAAATTTGGCCACAGACCAATGAAGCGTCATGTAGATGAGTTTTCACACTCTTAACTCTAGCATGAAGTGGTTTTTTTGCATTGAGGCTCGCTTTTTGCAGAAGATAGTGAAGTGTGCTTTCCAAAAATATGCATTTGGCTTCTGTATTCCTCATCAGTGTTACGAGGAGTTTATGAGGTGGAAACAAAGTTAAAGGTTTTTTTGCTTTTCAAATTCTGAGATCACTGAACACTGAAGTTACGCCAGTGATGTTGCCATTTGCCTCCAACACCTGCCCAGTGTAAGAATGTCTGTACTGGAGCCTCACTGCTGTACATGAATTCCTTATCTGCTGGAACATGCAGCACATGGCCCAGCCTGTAGCTGTTATAAATTGGGCACAGTAATGTTTTGCTGACTTGCACTACCTCAAAATATGCTCTGGATTGCTAGCATCTTCCTGTAGTGAATTTTCTTTCCTTTCAATAACTTTGCCATCGGTGCTCTGCAGGACTGCACCATTTTTCACCCCCAATCCTCCTCTGTCCCATGGGCTGCTTGTTTCCCTTGCTTCACATGTATGTGCTGTCACACAGCCGCCAGCCTTCACGTTTGAGAGAGAGAAGAAAGAAAGAAGAAAAGCCACTTCTTAATTGATCAGAAGTAACACTTGCCTGGCATTGCTTAGTTTTGTCCTGTTAATGAATGCAGGCTCTGCACGCCCAGGGGTTGAGGCTGCATCTCTCACATGAGCAGAAAGGCAGGGCTGTATTTCCAAAATTCCTTTATTCCTCAGGTGAGTTCATGAGGCTCCTTTTGACAATTTGTGTTGTGCAAGAGACTGTCACCTTCTGCCATTGCATCACTTGGTTTTGCTCTCAAAGCAAATACATTAAGCTCTGTGATGCTGTCTGGCCCCACTGTCCTGGAAGAGCTGGGATTAAATCCAAAACCCTCTGGGGACAGGGCAGGATGCTAGTAGCAAACTGGTCTCAAGCTCCCTGCTGCCAGGCTTGGCTGTGTTTATGGAGGTGGATCATCTGGGAGGATTTCCTCTGGCCGCAGTTTCATATCTCCTTTTAATTCACCAAAGCACAAGGAGCAGCCTGCTCACCAACATGTACAAGGACGAAGGAGGACTGGATGGAGCACTTGATACTTGTGCCTGTGAGGTGCTGGAGCAGGAGCTGCAGGTTGTTCTGTTGCTTCTAGCCCAAACTCACCCTCAAAAACCGTATCCAAGAAGGATTCTAAAGAGGCTCCACTCTAATCTACCTTGGGTGTGTTTCTGAAGCACATACTGCCACTGGGGCTGCGGGCAGCTGAGATTTATAGATGGCACTTGTCTTAAACGGGCCAGCCCTTGCTCAGCGCAGGAGACCAGCGCAGGCATAGTCTGGAAGAGCAGGGAGAAGGTTAGAGTAGCACAAATTGAGAGATTAAAAGCTGCTGAGTCAAACCATCTCCAGGACTATCGAGTGATGGGATGGACTTACTCCAGGCAACCTGGCAGGTGATGTTTGGTGTGATCACCTGCAGGAGCTCACAGGGGAAAAATTTCAGGGCATGCACTTATCAGCTTCTGAGGTACCTAACACTTGGAAATAATAAATCCTATTTTTTTCTTTTGTTTTATGTGTGTATTTTAATAGTTTCTCTTTTGAGATGGTTGCTTGACAGGACACAATCTGTCAAGACCCTTTGCGTGGCTTTCAACCATTGCTCCAAGCAGAAATTGTCCTCTATGTGATAGCGGTGAGTGTCCTGAGCTTGCTCCCTCAGCTGGATGCTGCATGAAGACATCACTGATCTACTGGCCCAGTGAGAAGCAATGAGGATGCTGGTCCTCTGTGAGCAAAGTCCTCATATGGGTGCAACTCAGCTCCTCCTGCTCTTCCTCTGTGCAGCCAGAGGTGCACCTTGGTGGCCACCAGCTGATCATCCTCTCACCAGCCAGAGATACTCCAATGCTTACACAAGCACTCAGCTCTTGACAAGTGTGCAGAATCCTAAACCTCATGCAGAAAAAACATGCCTGCCACAAATTATTATTGGCTAGCTTTTGCTTATTTGCCTTTTTTTTTTTTTTTTTTTTGCTATGGGTTTCTCCAGCTTTTGGCTTCTTTCTTCTCGTATACTGCTTGTGGGTGGTAGGGGCAGGCAGTGCCAGGTTAGCTTCACTCTGCACTCGTTACTCAGTGTGTGTTTTACATCTCCAGAAAGTGACTGGAGATATTTAATAAAAATATTTGGTTTTGCAGAGTTGAAATTGAGTTTTTTCTGTCTCCTTCCTCCCCCCTCCCAATTCTTTTGGTCAGATCCTTTTCCTAAGGAAATAATAATTCTTAAGAGCAACAACTTGGGATATTTAAGAGCTACTGTGGAGGGAAAGGAATAAAAGGGAAAACCAAGCCCTTTAAAAGACAGCTTAGGAAATATGTTTGCAGGAGAAATTGGACAACTTCTTAGAAGATTTCAGTGAGAAATAACACAAAGTGCATTTTTTTGGATTCGTACCTCAGTCTCTAACAACTGAAGACGTTACTCAAGGTAAATGTGTAACAGGAATATTTTTCAAAGCAGTCTATTGACTTTATATTTTCTTCCATTTCAGGCCACCTTTTTGCCCCTATCTCAAAGGCTCTGTATGCCCACCATTCTGGGCTCTGTGGATGGTTTTTCCCAAGACACTAGCACCTCACAGGACCCAAATTAAATTAAAATACTTAGGAAATTATTCATTTTAAGACCTTGCAGGCTGTTGATGTAGATGGCTCTGAGGCAGAGTGACACTGGTTGCAGATGGGCTCACAAGGACTCTGAGCCAAGCCTTTAACCTCTTTAGGGCAAAAGTTGGTCCATCTGTGCAGCAAGAAGGTTGTTGCTGTCCAGGATCCCTGGGTGAAAGGAATTATATAAGCACGACATCTCTTAATTTATATTAAACAAAAGGTTGACTTCAGTATT